CTTTATATAAAAGTTGCCTGGTTTGCAGCTAGTTAGTGCTTTTATGAAAACATACTGGACTCTGAACATTTTAATTGAGCTGATATTAAATTGTCTCTCAACTGTTGACAGGCGAGCCCATTGGCCGTGGTACAAAGATCGTCCTGCACCTGAAGGAGGACCAGACTGAGTACGTTGAGGATAAGAGGGTTAAGGAGATTGTGAAGAAGCACTCTCAGTTTATCGGCTACCCCATCACCCTGTTTGTAAGGATTTTAAATTTGACCTGACTATATTCCATGTTCCCTCTGTTAAGTCTGATTGAAACTGTTGTCTTGTGAGTAAAGTTAAACCAGAGTCTCTTTTTTTGACAGGTGGAGAAGGAGCGTGACAAGGAGATCAGTGACGACGAGGCAGAGGAGGAAAAGGCTGAGAAGGAGGAGAAAGAGGATGGTGAGGACAAGCCAAAGATTGAGGATGTGGGCTCAGATGATGAGGAAGACTCCAAAGACAAGGACAAGAAGAAGAAAAAGAAGATCAAGGAGAAGTACATCGACCAGGAGGAGCTGAACAAGACCAAGCCCATCTGGACCAGAAACCCTGATGACATCACAAACGAGGAGTATGGAGAGTTCTACAAGAGTCTGACCAACGACTGGGAGGATCATCTGGCTGTCAAGGTAAACGGAGGAAGGCTAAAGCAGCTGTATGAATGTGTACTAACGCCTCAGGCTGCACGATGGCTAAAACTGAGTCAAAATTTAAAATTGTTTATTTTCTCTTCCACAGCACTTCTCAGTGGAAGGCCAGCTTGAATTCCGTGCCCTCCTCTTCATCCCCCGCCGTGCTCCTTTTGACCTCTTTGAGAACAAGAAGAAGAAGAATAACATCAAGCTGTACGTCAGGAGAGTCTTCATCATGGACAATTGTGAAGAGCTCATCCCAGAGTACCTGAGTAAGTGATAACGCAGTCTGAATGAAACTGCAAAGCATAATGTGATAAAATACATTCATCTGAACAGTGATTCATTAAAATTAATTTTATTTTACATAATCCAGACTTTGTCCGTGGTGTGGTGGACTCCGAGGATCTGCCCCTCAACATCTCCAGAGAAATGCTGCAGCAGAGCAAAATCCTCAAGGTCATTCGCAAGAACATCGTCAAGAAGTGTCTGGAGCTGTTTGCAGAGCTGGCCGAGGACAAGGAGAACTACAAGAAGTTCTATGAGGGTTTCTCAAAGAACATCAAGGTATCTGAAATAAACATGTTTCACTGCATTGATTTTATTGAAAAGAAAAACCTTTTTTATTTTAATGAATTCATGCATTCCTTGTCTTCAGTGCTTCTCCATGGATTCATAAGGTTTACTTTCATTGTTGTGGTTGCTGCTTTGTTGCTTAAGGCCAGTTGAAGACTACCACATAGCTGTAATTTTCTGTTGTCATTTGGCTTTAAAAATGTATGCAATTATCTGCTAGTGTACATAACTGGGTTTATTTAAATTGTGAAGGCTTGTGCTGTAGACTAGTCACTTAGTATTTGTAGATTAGTCACTAAGTATTGTTGAATAAGTAAATAGACTTGTACCCTGTTACCCTACACTATTTAAATATTACCTGCCGGTGACAGGTGCCATCACATGTCTGCACAGTCGGCTGGTTCAACAGTAATGAAACTAAACAGGAAAAAGTAACTGATGTTTGTTGGGTATAATGAAGCAAATTGAACTAATTCAAAGCTGCAGTTTAGTGTTAAGAAGGTTGGTTTACCAGCCAAGCCTGAGTGCATTCATGTGAAAAGCTAGAAATAGATATGTTGTCCAATCATGTGATTCTATTAACCCAGAGCTTGGGAATCAATTAACATTGCTTTTAATGGTGTTCTGATGTTTGAGTATTGAACAATTGTCCATTATCTCTTCTCTCTGTAGCTGGGAATCCACGAGGACTCACAAAACCGCAAGAAGCTTTCTGAGCTGCTGCGTTACCAAAGCTCTCAGTCTGGAGATGAGTCTACCTCCCTCACAGAGTACCTGTCCCGCATGAAGGAAAACCAGAAGTCCATCTACTACATCACTGGTCAGTCCGTCTCCCAGAAAATCTGATTTTCTGCAAAACTTTCCTTTTAGTAGCCAAGTTATGTAAAATATTAGCAAATGGCACCTTTTTGTATTAACAAATTTTCTGGTATGCAAATTATATTAAAATCTTATCTTCAATTTACCTCTAGGTGAGAGCAAGGATCAGGTGGCCAACTCCGCCTTCGTCGAGCGCGTCCGCAAGCGTGGCTTCGAGGTCCTGTACATGACAGAGCCAATCGATGAGTACTGCGTCCAGCAGCTGAAGGAGTTTGACGGTAAGACCCTGGTCTCTGTCACCAAGGAGGGCCTGGAGCTGCCTGAGGATGAGGAGGAGAAGAAAAAGATGGAGGAGGACAAGGCCAAGTTTGAGAACCTCTGCAAACTCATGAAGGAGATCCTGGACAAGAAAGTGGAGAAGGTCAGTGATCCTGATGGAACACTTGGATTTGTATCCAGTATTTCCCTTCACATTGTAGGAGTTAAGTTTCACAGCTGCAGTTGACAGTGTTTTGTTTGGTAATAGGTGACCTAATTCAGCCCAACTTGTATCCTGGTGAGTTCATGCAGGTTTGAGGTGGCCCCTTGGTCTCCTGTTTTCAAAAGTAACCTTGAATGATATGCAGTTTTTTTTTTTTCTTACTGGTTGTGAGTTCCAGGTGATTTTGTGGTGATGCTGAATATCCAGAATGAATTTTTCATCTAACATGTTGAAGTTTGCATACTTGAGTTTTAAAGTTTGAAGATGCATTTTCTGAAGTTTTAAATGCGTATTGGTCAGAATTGTTTGAAATTAGTAAACTGAGTAGATGCAGCATGTTAATATATGGAACAATTGGTCCTGGACCTGCTGGTGTGTTATTTCTAACATGGTTGACCTGCATGTATTAACTTAAACTGACTTCTAGAATTTCGAAGTAGGACACAGCATGTTGGGGTTTTTTCTGATCCCTTTATTTCGTTTTGTCATCCAGGTGACAGTGTCCAACAGACTGGTGTCTTCACCCTGCTGCATTGTGACAAGTACTTATGGATGGACAGCCAACATGGAGAGAATCATGAAGGCCCAGGCACTCAGGGACAACTCCACCATGGGCTACATGATGGCCAAGAAGCACCTTGAGATCAACCCTGACCACCCCATCGTGGAAACTCTCAGGCAGAAGGCTGATGCTGACAAAAATGACAAGGCTGTGAAGGACCTTGTCATCCTGCTCTTTGAAACGGCCCTGCTGTCCTCAGGCTTCTCCCTGGACGACCCACAGACCCACTCCAACCGCATCTACAGAATGATCAAACTCGGCCTGGGTAAGGATACACTGCAGATAAAACTTTAAGTTATGACACTCATTTCTTGGATTGATTGCTAATAATAAAAAAACATCCTCGTACCTCTAGGTATCGATGACGACGATGTTCCAACAGAGGAAACCACTTCAGCAGCTGTCCCTGATGAGATTCCTCTCCTAGAAGGCGATGGCGAAGATGATGCTTCACGCATGGAGGAAGTCGATTAAACCACCCCCCCCTCGTCCCAGATTTTTAACACTTTAGCCTCACTTTTCAATTCATCCCTTAAACTGCAGTAAATGCAAAACAAATAGTCATTCATGTTGTGTGGTGGACCAGTGTTGCTCTCGTGTCCAGAGCATTACTCTGCAACGCCCCCTGTTAAGAAAAGCAATTTTGGTTTTTGCTGTATAAGTTCATGGTGACAGCACATTTGTTTAACGAGTACCCTGTTGCACTGAGTTTTAAATGTCGGAGTGGTGAACATGGGAATGGTACATTCCATTGTCAGTCTGGAGGGTTAGGGGAGGTTCTGCTCATGTGCAACACTGCACGCTGCATGGAGAGAGGACTGTATGATTCCTTTGCCTGAGTCCAGGCTTGTCTGTATTCCAAGTCTTTGTTTTGCAAAAAATTAAAGATGTAATACCTTATCTTGACTTTCTCGGCTGTCTTTACCGTTATCACAGGAGTTTAGAGGGAGGTAGGTTAAACTGAACTCATGTACTTTGAGAATAAAGATACTATTGTTTCTGAACTATAATAAATTTCAGGGTGAATTTACTAGATGTTCTAACTTGAGCTTGTGAAACTCCAAATGACCACTAGGTGGAGTCACGCCAGCATCAATGACACCAACACACACAAAGAATCCTACAATATCAAGTTACTGTGTGACTCCAGATCACATTTAAATACCCCAAATATAATCAATAGAATTATATCCTGACTCATCTGTCTTTTCAACACTTGGCAAGTGATGAAGGAATCATAAAATTCTAACTATGAAACTAGATCTGAGGCAGACAATGGTTTTTAAATTAGCTAAATACTAGTGTGCATCTGCAGAGCCTTTTGGCTACATGGAGAAAAAACGTTAGTGAGATTACATTGTAATTCCAAACATGGTTGACTCCTGGACTATGGCAACATTCTTTTCAACATTTTGACATTTGCAATATTTAATATACTGCTTGTTGAGTTAACGCCATCTAGTGACTGTTTGCAGGACGGAATGGAGAGGAGCATCATGATGATGCAGTTTTTGACCTCATGCCTTTATTTTTGGATGTGGAACTCTAATGTCAGGTGATGAGGCCTGAGCTCTTGATTTTCCACTGAGATCACACAGACTGAGAAAACCAGTTCTTAGCCCCACCTTCAGCACACACTGGAAGACAATATTGTTTGTATTAAATACAAGGAGTTTATACGTATGGCCACAAAGTGAGTTTAACTGCTGTCAAAACCAATAGATTGTGTAGTAGTTGCACCGTTTAGAAATGTCAGCCAGGTGTGATTACTCATGGGGAAGTTGTGAGACAGAGGCTGTTGACCCTTAACAAAGGTATGTGCTCTGCTGAGTGAATAATACCTAAAAAAAACAGCACTGAATACCACTTTCAGTAAGATCAAAGCTCCAAACATCATAGATTTAAGTTAATTTAGTATTTTATTAATAATCCAGTTACCAGAGGAAATAGAATGATAAAAAAAAAACAAGGTACCAGTCACATTGCATTTCCCTTGTATGAATTCTCTTCTGCAGGACCTACAGTACCTTCACATCGCCGTGACGACTTTGAGCATCATCAAACTTCTTTCAAACATTCACATGTAAAAGTGACGCGCACAAAGCAGTCCTTTTACAAAAGTACACATCAGACAAGTTGGTCGGAAATAAACAATATATTTACACAATCATTTTCAGCTCGATTTTGAGATCTTAAATAAAATCTGTATTGTGAGGACAACAAAAAAATGATTTAAGGATAATTTGGAGCGACAGCAGCATCTGCTTCAGCGATGTCAAGGCCAAATTGTTTAATTTCCACGTGGTGTGCTCTTTTTACAAAACCCGTCGTTTACCACCCTCCATTACAGATGTTATCCTCTGGGAGAAGTTAATGTACCTTAAATGATACCAAACTGCGTTTCAAAACTATAACGTCCTCCGTCCATTTGAGGTGTAACTATGAATCAGTAATAATCCCCGCCCATTCATCTAAAAACACATATCACAAGACCATTCCATGGGCGTGCAGGTGGAAACCGGAAGCAGAGTATACTACAAATGAGAAACATATGCAAAAAAGGTTTCTTGGCCGAACGATGAGGTGGAAGTGAAAGTGTTAAAAACATTTGCCTTAACTGTTGGTTATCAAGTCGTGACTGATGGGAATCAAAAATCATATTGTAGTTATAAAAAAAAACAGTCCACCTTTTAACTGTGAAAGAACTGAAGAGACAAGTTGTGGTCTGAGAATTGTGTATTAAACAATACTGCAGGCACTGAAATCACATGGACCCCTTGGGGTCATCTTGGTGCAAGAGTCAAAACTGCTAATCCCTTTCTGTACCGTAGCTAACAACAATATAAATGAATGAAAAAGAAAACGGTTAAGAAATCAAGAGACACAAAAAAAAGACAAAAAGCACCACAGAAAACGTGGCCTCAGTTCCCAGTTTGGTGTTACACCTTCTGTGCAAGCGGCTGCGCTGACCGTCGACCCGACTTCATGCGGCTACGTGCATACACCCGAAGGAAAAGTGCCAGGAAAACTACGGCGACACCGAATCCACCTACAATGGTGACGGCGTGACCGTAAAGGAAACAAGAGAGGAGAATGGCGATGGCCTGCCTCAGGGTCATTATGATGGTGAAGACGGCAGCACCGAACTGGCTGATGGTGTAGAAGATGAAGAGCTGGCCACACGCTGAGCACACGGACAGCAGCACGGCGTGAAAGGCAAACTCGGAGTGACGCGTCATGAAGGCCACCGACTCGAAGAAGGCGCCCTGCTCCAGCAGCGAGCCGACAGTGAAGAGGCAGGAGAACAGGTTGACTCCGAACATCATCTGCACTGACGACATCTTGTGCTTGAACAGGTTGTCCTGCCAGTTGGAGGTGAAACTGTCGAAGACGATGTAGCCCACGAGGATGATGATCCCGCTGAAGGTGGTGACGTTGGATGGGTGCTTACTGGTTGTGCTGGACAACAGGAACATGCTGACACCCACTGAGATCAGCACGGCGGTCAAGTACTCCCAATATTCGTAACTCTTACGGGAGATGAGCTTCCCCATGAGCATGACAGGAATGACTTTGGAGGCCTTGGCCAGGACTTGGGTGGGGAAGCTGATGTACTTGAGGGCCTCGTACTGGCACCAGCTGCTCATGATGTTGGAGAGCGAGGCGAAGGAGTACTTGTACATGGGCGCTCCGTGGCGAGGCTGCTTGAACAGAACGCACCAGAGGCCCGACACGGTCAGAGCCAGGATGCGGTTCATGAAGACCAAGAACTGGGAGTCCTTGAATTTCTCTCCCGCCTCCTCTGGAGTCGTGGCTCCATAGGAACGAGTCATCACCCTCTCCTGCAGGACCCCCCATGTCAGGTACGAAGCCTGAGAATAAGAGTATTGACGTTTCAAGGGTAGAACTCATGATATATAAATGTTAAGTTTGGACACTAAGGTTTATTTTTCACCTTTCACCTTTCAGCTATTTATTATTTTATATATTTATTTATTATATTATGTATAATTATTAGGCCGGGTAATATTAAAATATAGAAAAATGCGGATTCATGCTAGTATACATAAAAATACTTTTACCAGACATTTATTGTTAATTAGCATTACCTTTCATACAAACATCTGTAAATCAGTGAGCTGACAGGAAACTAAATTAGGATTTGTTTATTATTATTATTTGTTGATTAAGCTATGTGACTGTACTTTTGTGTGGATCCTCACCTGAAGTCCAGCAGCACAAAAGACTAATTTGATGCCCTGTTTGACTGACGAGCCTGAGTCTCCTTCATTCCTGGATGCAACCGACGTGTCATCCAACAGACTTGTTTTGGCCTCACTGCCAAACACGCAGGTCTTTATTAGAGGATGGCAAATCCCACTACCTGAAAGGTACAGGACACAAAAAACATAAATGCACTTGATATTGAAGGGACTACAACAACGAATCGGTGGATTTAAACTGGTATTTGGTAATTTTCAGAAACACGTCCGGACCTCAGTGCACGGCTGAAAGCAGCTTAAGTTGTCTGTGTTTGTTTTCATGTGTCCACACCTGTTTCTAGGTAATTGGTGCGCTTGAAGTAGCTAATGAGGAGGTAGCCAGGGATGATGATGGTGGAGTATCCCAGCATGTTGATGAGGAATCGGAAGAGCCAGACATCTTGCCAGCCGTCCAGCAGAGATGACTCTTCTGCAGCCACAGTGGAAGGGAGGAGAAGCAACACAAGTGCGGGCGAAACCCTAAAGAAGAAACACATTGAGACAAAAATATAATTCTGAACCGTCCACTAATATACATTTTACAAGGGTTTCTGTTTCGTTATAATATGATTTAAAGGGAGGCGATGGCAAACTGAGACTTTTTGAAATATTAAAACTATATATTAACATAAATGCAACACATTTTATGTTACTCTAATTCATAACAAAAGTGATGACAAATATCAACACAAGTAGAAACTCCACAGTCCACAGCAACACTCCATTTCATTATGTTTCCTTGCTCATCACACTGAGCCATCGGAATCAATCTTTTGTGCCGGATCGCTTTATTTACTTTCCGGCACATTGATAGGACACCTAAAGATAAATATTATTTTCTATGTAGTTTAAGACCAATCACTCCAAAGAAAAGAAAGTTGCTGTAAATGACCATTTTGCTCTAAAACAGGTCTTAAAGTAGAAACCTCTTAAAATTGCTGCCTTGGGCAGATGTTATGCAATGAGATGAATAACAATGGCTGCTCTGGAACTAAATTGATGAAGCCTAAATAGCCAAAACCTTGGTCATAAGGTTGAGTCAAGCTTCAAAAACACTTTCAGTAAAGCAACACAATGACATCTTTCATTAGACCCTATCCTACCTGGAAAATACCAGCGTCTTTCTGACTAAGCCCAGATTGCAATGCAGACTTTGTGTTAAAGGTTCGCCAAGCTGTAGCTGATATGATACATTATATACATTATACAAAACTCCATCCACAGCCACTGGGTAAACTACTGAGTGCTACCCACAATAACGTGTGTTGAACAAGACATAGATACATGAGATGTCCTGCTGCACCCCCCACAAACAGCTTAGGTAACTCTAGTTGCGGTGAAAGCCTGACTTCACAAGGTGTGCTCCATGCTTTCGTGGCACTAGCGTTGACTGAGGCCGGGGCCTCCCCCAACTCACACAGAGCCTCTTTGTGAGGGACTCTGCTGCGGCCTGGCTAACCAGTGGGCTACTGCAGCGAGACCTGGGCCCTGAACAAGCAGCTTATTACATGGAGGAATGCGCTGCACTGACCGGGCGACCCGCAGGCTGGCGCACCACAGGCCAAGAGTGAACACTGCCAAACATTTACCTGAGCGGAGACCCAAGACTTGTGTCTTGTAGGAAATTATGATGCCAGGCTGGGCTATTAAACAATATCAATAATTACTATTGCAAAATATGTCTTAATCAATTAGCAATATAACAAAGATCTATAACAAAACTAATTATGGGACCCACCACGATTCAATTAGAATAAAAACAAAAAGCACACTTAATAGAATATTGTATTTCGATTGGTGTTACCAGACGTATTCATCCTATAGATTTTGATTTTGATAATTAAGTGACTTGGGTTTAAGTTAGACATGAAAACAGCCAAATTAAAAGACAGGTTTTTCAAATGCCATCAAGTGACTGTCATTCTACGCCTTTAAAGAGGAGTTCAAAACTGCACTCTTCACTCAGGAGCATATCTATCAATCGATCTGAAACAATAATGCGACAATTATAGAGATAATTATCGACTGATATGACATATTCTAATATCACCCAGTTGTATTCAATTGTATAAGACTTGTTGTACATAAATTAACATGGAACCACATGCTTTAGTTGACAGTTTTAAAATCAGTGAATCAGGGGACCGAATTTAGTGAAACACCCATGAAAACAAAGTAACTTATGATGTGTGACAAAAGAAAGAAAATACTAATACCACCACTAATACTACTACCACTACTAATAATAATGATACTGTTAATAATAATAATAATAAGCTAGTAGCAGTAGTTTGGCTGACACCAGTTCCTGAACACAAACAGTTTTACTTTAGCCAGCAGCTTGTTTACAGACTATTAAAACACAGTGGCCATTTTAAAACCAAATGAACACAGTAACCGGCTCGGTGACTTTCGTACACGATGATAAATAAAAGAATCGACATCGTCCGCGACTTGAACTCGTCTTTGTGGTGACATAAGGTGCAGTTAGCTGCTCCGGCTCCCTGACGTTACCTCCATGGGAGAAGAGAAGGCATTTTCCCCTCACTCCGGGACCCCGACACTGGCCGCAGGGAAGCCGCCGACACACGCTCACACGTCCCCGCTGACACAGAGCATGAAGCCGCCCGGGGCCCGCCAGGTAACAGCGCAGATTGAATGATGGAGGGGGGGGTTCTTGTTCCTTTAGCTCCGCTGCTGTCTTCAACTTCTCCTCCAGCGCAGGCCCCCTCCTCTCACTCACCACCGCCGGAAACAGCGCCACCGCCACGGCCACAGCGCCTCTACCCCCCTGTCGGCGTGGAGGAGTAACTGCAGTGGTTATAAATTAAATGTATTCTCAAGTTGGTTTTTATTTTTTTATTTTTTATTTTATTTAACCTTTTATTTCAGAAGGAAAGTCCTAATGAGATTAAGAATGTGTTTTTTTTAAAGGAGGCTTGGCCAAGGTAGGCAGCAGCACATGTAAAAACATACAGTGCTTATGCATGGGTGTGTGCGTGTGTATGAATATATGTGCAATATGTTAAAGATTTTGCAGAATATGTGCGAATTATGCAGGAGGTAGATGGTGACTGAGGTAACCTGTGTTCAATTAACTTTTATTTCCATGTTACCCTCCAGGTTTAGATTTGTCCATACATTACATCACATAAATCACAAAATATGAGGCATTGTCAGTATTTTATGAAGCATTCTGGTTCTACACTGAAGTCAAAGTAGCCATACTAAAAAATATTGTCTACCATGATAATCTGTATGCACTTGTTCCAAAGTATATAGATATTGTAGTATTTGTACTTGTGTATGATCTGATCTTTTGGTAATAATAGAAGAGTCAATGCACCTAAGTTGCATTGCATATTATAATAATCAATGCTGTGGTTGATTGTAAACAAACCCTGTTGTATATATGCAACAAGTAAGGTCTACGTGTTACAGCAATAATATTTTACAAGATTAATTTGATTCCTTTGTTAATTGTTGACTTTCTGGTCCTTTTGCTGTCTCAATTCCTCTATGGTTTGTCTCTGGAATGATGGAAATTCTGACAGTCCAGTACAAATTATATATTATGTCCAGCAGTTATGAAGGCAACAGTTGGTTCTGTATTCTTCTAAAAGGAAGAGAATCATGATACAGTTGAAGGCTGTAAATTTGTAAAAACAGAAAAGATTGAATTATCATTTATACACTAAAAAAAGTTCTTAAAAGTTACACATGACTTTATTAATACAACACCCTGCTCATTTAGGAAAATATAGGGTTGCATACTGAACAGTAATAAAAACTGGTTTATCTAACACATTGTCGCCTATGGAAAAAAAACATAATGCAAATAGCGTCAGGGTTTCCCAGGCCATAGGCTCAATGAGGAAGTAGATCAAGTTTCACAACTGTGTGTATTCACTGTTGCCCAGAGGTCTGTCTGTTTAGTGATTGTCGCCATAATAAAGTTAAGAGCCACTGTCACACACCACTGTTAACCCGAGCAGAGGAGAGACGACCTGTGAGTAGATAATCAGACTAACAGCCCTGTATAAACGTGAGGTCAGGATTTTTTCAATCCGTCTTGCTGTGGGTAAATGTGTTTGTGAAAGAGATACGGCTGAGTGGAATTTCCAGCTGCTCCTCAGTCATTGTATCACTGGAGCCATCAGGAGGAAGCTACTTACGGAAAAACAAAAGATTTACCTTTCAAAAAAGCCCACAGCCGACAGGAAGCAAACAAAAGAACTGGGTCGTTTTCATAAAGGAGCTTTTTCATGAACTCATTATAGTTTAACTAGATACTTTTATGATGTGTTCTGGCCAATAACACAAATTACAATAATAACGACGGATAAAACAAAGATTTTTAAACATGAGTTAAAAGGGACAAACCTCCTTTTGCAATAATGACATCTATTAGTCATATTGCTTTTTTAATCAATGTGTGCATGTCTTAAACCAGAGCGTTAAATTCAGATCTTTGATTACAGAGGTAGAGCAGATAGGGTTCATTCAATTCAAAATTCAAAAACTTTCACAAACAATAAACATTCACATATGCAGGGAGTAATTTTAAAAAAAAGTTTTATTACAAAATAAAAGGGAACTGCTCGTGTTAACTGGACAGGCCAATGTAATCACACACTAAAGAAGAGATTTTTGCAGATAAAGGCTACAGTGAGATAAACAGAGAAACCTCTTTCATGACCTGAGGCAACAAACCGAAAATGATCAAAAAGATGAAGCTGCATTCTGTGTCTTATACTACATTTCTATATTGTTTATCAGTTTTTAAAAAAGCAGGATTGTTATTTGTTAGTCTTCAGGCCTCCTTCCACTGAATTGAAAAAAAAATCCATTCCTCAAAAAGCTTCTTTGTGGTTAAAATTAAATATCACGTTTTCAGGGTTTAAAGCAGGAGAAAATCGTACTTCCTTTACTAAACGGAGGCATTCCGAGCTCTGAAACAAAGCAATCTGCGTGTTCCTTTTCTAGCCATTCAATCTAGGTAAAATATAATGAAGAGGTAGAATCTTTTTTTTGTTTTTTTTTACAGAAACTTAACATGCTGACGGAAAGTTTGGCACTCAAAGTCAGGAGACTTTTGTAGCTGAGTAAAAGCCCCCGGGAGGCAACGAAAAGAAGCAAAACAACAACTGCGAAAGTGAGATTTTTTCTCTCTGCGCTCAATCAAACAGAATCGCTCTCCGTCAGAGGGAAGTAAGATTTATAAGATGTGCATATTCGTCTACATAATAGATAAATAGAGATCAAATCAGAGTGCACTAAAAATATAGCCACTACTCCATAACAACTTCAGCGCAAATACAGCTTTCTTTTGAAAATCATTACGAGCCACAGTGAAGCTCCGGACAATTACAGAGTTGTTGGTTCAGCTCAGAACTTCACAACGACCACCGACCGCCCAGAGATCTGGATATCATCAAAAGGAAATAGAGCCAGAATCTGAAATACAGGACATGAAAGGTCAAACGTTACTGATGCTTTCTTTAATGCTCCATAGATTTTCTTCATCAAATATCTCAAGGTTTTATTCTCAGCCCCAAGCCAATGTATTTATAGTGAAACCATAACCATAGTGATAAATACATACTTTCAATAATTTTTCTATTTTTAAATAATTTCCTGAAGTGTTTTTCCTGAAACAGGTCGTTACTGTAGTTTTTAGCACAGTTACTCAAACAGGAGTGAACTGTACATTTGTTAGGGACTATTTTCATCCGTGGATTAATACACAAACCAAGCGGAACAGAATATGTGGGACAGACTCAAAATAAATAGTAAATCCATCACGGCACCTCACTGGAAATAAAATATTAACAATATCTTACATCATCATTGCCGTCAGCCAGATCCAGCGCCGTCTCGTCCTCCATGTTTCGAAGCATTGTGTCAGCGCCGGCCTGGCAGAGCAGGTTGGCGATGGAGGCGTCCTGCCTCCCCACCGCCAGATGCAGGGGCGTGCAGCCGTTAAACATGGCCGCGTCCACGTTGGCTCCTCTGCTGAGCAACAGCTTCACGGAAGTGATGTCATGCAGCTCGACGGCGAGGTGAAGAGCTGTTTTCCCACTGGTTCCTTCCTGCCAGGGGCGGAGATGGAAAAAGACGATTATAAATACTTAGTTAAAAGCCAGAGATACTACAATGGAATGACAATATAAAGTTCGTCAATTTATTTTTAATAATTGCTAGTTTGATATTTTCTCATTATGGAAATTTGGAAGAGAAAGACACAGCAAGACACTTAAAAATCTAATTTCATATAAATAAAATAACAATAATTCCACACACCGGATGTGAGGCAGAGTGGTTCAGTGAGGCTGGTGAGTTCAACCAAGAGGAATGTCTGTGGTAGTTTAGGGAGCGACTGTCATGCTACTTTCCTTCAATAGAAAGTTAAGAGTGGCTGAGCAGCCCGGACTGATCATATCTCAGATCTAATTATGTCTCCATGAATCCTGCAGGAAGCCCTGAGCTCAGCTTTATATCGCTATCAGCGTTGCACAGGTGCAGCAGATTTATAGACATGAGCACAACATGAGGCCGGGAGGAGTAAACAGTTTGAGGGGTGTGATACGGCGTAAATACTGGAACATAAGATGAAATGTAGAATACTGCAGGTAACCCTTCATTTTATTAGCAAAGTTATGTTTTCTCAGTCCCTCTTCTTCTTTCAGGTTAAATCACTGTTTGAAATTTCAGCTGTGTTTATTGTAAGGTTATTTACGCAGAATTAAACGGCCCATAAAAAACATCTAGTTGTTCTAGTTAAGACCATCAGCTACACGATGCTGTAAAATAAGGATTCACTCGACAGACCAACCTGGATATTCAGGTCAGCTCCCTTTTTCATCAGGAAATTCATAATCAGATGTTGCCTGTTCAGTGCAGCCAAGTGAAGACAGGCAAGACCTGCAAGTACACATGTTGAAAAATGGAATACCGGGTTAATTTGAGGTCAAAATTAAACAAGAGGTTTATTGTATTAATTTTCAAATGACAAACAGAATAACATGCCTTTTACAAATTCACCACAAAACCCACAAGTGATTATGCTAATTCAATGCTACTGTTACAGTTAGCAATTGCTCCTTTGCCAAAATGCTGGAGGATAGAAAACTTGAATGAATCCTTTGATGCTTTATTTTCCTGAGCAATGCCAACCTAGTTAATTGTTTACATCATCAAAATGCCACGTTACATTTGGAAACACAAAAAAAAACCTGATTCTCGTAATCTGGGAAGTTCATGTTCAGCAAAGCCCGCTGACTAATCATCACACAGATGCTTACTATACGAAAAAATAACCACAATAAGCTGATGAGGCCGTGCAACAGCAAGTCCATTTCCTCACCTCTCCAGTTCTGGGTCTCGAGGACAGGTGCCAGCTTGCTTGGGGAAACGTCTCTGGTCATCTCGTTGGCGCACTCAGTTTGCCCGTGCTGGCAGGCCACATGGAGCGCCGTGTTCCCGTCCTGGTCCTGCAGCTCCAGACTGGCCCCTTTCTCAACCAGCTTCTTCACCACATCCGTCAGGTTCAGATAAGTGGCCAGGTGCAAAGGGCTCTGAGGATCACAGGAGACAGAGGACGTGTAATGCAAATAAAAGTGGTGGAAGATTTTTTAATGAACTGCAAAGCTTAAACAACAACAAGTTGATTCATCGGTAGCTTAATAATCATTATCGAGAGAAATTTTGATAATCATAGAAGTCATTTGTCAGGGGAAAATACTAAACATTTGCCCGTTCTAGCTTCTAAAGTGTGAGGTTTTAATTGAATCTATCACTGTGGATTGAATTACAGCAACAATCTGAAGACATTTTCTGTCAAAAGACATTTGAATTTAACTATGCCATAATAAAAAAAAATTATTTGCAGCCCTCACTAAATATGTTTTGTATTCAAACTTGGGCACTTCTATTTCCTGGATGTCTTAGAGCAACCCTGAGAAAATCCGGCATTCAGCTGTATGACTAAAGACAAATTTGAATGGCACTCAGTAGAGCACAAATCTAGAGCACAAAACTTTGGGAAAAAAAAGCTGGTCTCATAATCTATACATCCTCGCACGTCGACATCATAGGGCTGATTTTTACATCAAAATCCATAAACTCTGTCCAGAATAAATATTTTTTTAAATTAAATAAAAATACCAAAAAAAGGCCCTATCTTGAAAAGTTAAAAGTGATTTCCCCTCCCCCCCAAAAAACCTACCCAGATCTACACCACACTTCAGTAGGTTCTTTCCTGTCCCATGGTCTATCCCTCCACTTTGTTTAGGGTCAGTGCTCTTGTAAAAATGTTGCTGACAACAAACCAACAAACAGATGCAAGTGACAACACAACCTCCTCTGCGGAGATAAACAGCCAAGACAATGAGGGTTGCACATTCTGTCAAAAACAAACAGGGCTTGTGGTTGCACTGTGTTCTTGTTCAAAACAAAACACCAGCAGTGCATCATTAATCATCCGAGGTTGGTTTTCTCTTAAAACTTTTAAACCAAGAGTGAACAAGATGTTTTTCTTCATAATGTCTCCAAATACAAGATCTGCAGAGACAGCTGCGAGGAAATTAAGCAACTGAAATGAACTTTCAATGCTGAGTCACTGCATCATGTGCTGAGCATTCAGATATTTCCTTGTTACGGTTCAATCACTTCTCTAGTCTTAACTTTTATTTTGACACCAGCACGACTGGTTCTGACATCTTGAACAACTGGAACCATTCCTCCAACCACATCCACACAAGGATACACTTCACAGCTCCCTGTGGTTCTATTTCTACAAGAGGTAGAGGAGGGGAGTTTCCATTCTGAGTCCCTCATGAGCTAACACTCGAACCACCCACAGTGCCGCCCCTTCGAGAGGACAGGCTGCGAGTAAAGAGGAACAACGGTTCTCTGGAAGTACAGAGATAAAAATAATGACACCGTTTCCACAATCAAGGTGCTGATAATAAGGAAGTCATTTTGGATTAACAACCAATCCAACCGAAGGTGCATGTGTAGTGGAAAGATTAGTGTTGCATTTACCTGGTATAAATTATTTTGGATGTCCAGGACTTCTTTTGGGAAAAGCTCTATCAAGTGCTGAGTGATGAAATCGTCTTCATGGATGATTGCTAAGTGCAGGAATCTAGAGGAGTGGAAAAGAAAAACAATAAATATATAAATTAGCATGCTTCCATTTAAACCATAGTCTGATAGACGACATGACAGCCCCCAAAAAGTGAAGCCAAATCATCTTGACTGGTCTGCCTGGCCTGCTGCCATGACAGCTGAGCGCCACTCGTGATTGGTCGAACACTTTTATCTAAGGGACCTCAATGCCCGAGCGGCAGCGTCCATCTTTGTCTATATATGACAAAAACCTGCAGACCTACTTTTACTCAAAAGCAACAGAGTTGAGTAATGGTGGAAAAGAAAATGCACGTCAGCAAGAGTGAAGATGTTGCTTCACAATTTTCCTCAGTATTCATCTCAGGAGTTAGTGGGCTGAATGGCAAGATTCAGAGGTTGGGTTATTGGTCGATTCCAAAAAATGTAGCGAGGTTAGCGAAACACCTGTTAAACTAAGTGAGCGTGTTGGAACACATATCAGATGGCACATCTTTGCAGCACATTATGAAATTAGAAAACAACACATTACCTCAAAACCTGAATGGGAAGTTGTAGCAAACAAATGCGTGCAAAAAGCAGGAAATGGAACCTTGCGTTCAAACTTTATATAGACTAACCTTCAAAAAGGCAAAAGGGGCCTGTTCTGTAAAACAATTTCAACAGATTTAATCAAAGTGGTGCTTAATAAAGTTTGTTTCTCTAGCATCTGGAGATCACAGGTTGAAGCTGATGTCAAAGAGAGTTTTCTGGAGGATCAGCAGCAAGCTCCTCTGGGCAGAATAAATCTCATTTGACCAGAAAAAATAACGGTGGATGTGGCGCTCTTTTGCAGACAGACAGTGTGAGCTCAAAAGTCGTAACAAAACTTCTCTGCAGACGTATGATTCAGCGTCCTGCTTTTAACAGGTCACTACCAATTTTCTGATTTCCTGTCAGATGTCACACACATTAATATCATTTGCACAAGAAAACCTTTCCTGTCTCCCGGAGCCACATATAGAAACACAAAATCAAATTTGATTAAATTATCTCTGTGAGGTTGTTAAATATTAAATGTGGTTATGTGATTATGAATCTGATTTAAGAGGAAAGCCGTTCAATTAAGCAGTTAATCATCATCAAGTCTGATTGATTCACTGTCTGTGTCTGTCTGGTCCTTTTTTAACCGGTGGATCAATAAAACTAATTTGTGTTATATATATGTGAAATAAATCTTTTGCTTAATCACAAAAAAATTACAATGTTTGTATTCTGACTTAAAAATTAATTTGTAAGCTTAATACAGTCGAGAGCACTTAATCATTAAAATATTTTATGGGTAAATAGAAAAAATAAATTTTGGATTGCATAAGGTAAAAACCTTTCACAATCATAATGTGTTTAATTTCATTATAGAAGATGAAGACAATTTTACTTTTATTTTGTTTTTACCAATCGTTGCAAGTAAACAACTACTAACTGGTTGGGAAACATGTCTGTGACATAAAGTATTTTGTAAGAAGGAGGAACTGCTGACATTCTGCATGTCTGCAGTGTTTAAATATAACTTCTAACTAATCATAATAAAGTGAATATCTAGGAATTTTAGAACTTTTTCAGACAAATCAGGGAATCTGAATTTGCTTCAATGACTTCTGAGAAACTGAAATTAGAAAAAGGAGATTAATCCACCGACTGAGCCTGTGAGCCAAGACAAAAACATCCAAAGTTCACACTCAAATAAATCTGGAAAAAGCTGAACAGACAGAAACAAAACCAGTGTTTGCATTAAAATATCTGTTGTTAATGGAGATTGGAGATATTTATGTGTAAATGTATGGATAATGCATCACAATATACCCCGATCAGACACAACATTAAATCCAGCTGTGCTATAAATACATATCATTTATATATTATTATATTATATACAGAGAATGATTTAAAAGTCTGCAGACTGGGGGATCTGCACTTTACTGACGAGTCAACGCTGAGCAAACCTCTAAATGTGAAAGGGACTTCCTGGTTTGAGTAACTCTTGAATGAATAAGAAGCAAAAAAAAAAAAGTCCCATGGGGGAAATTAATATTTGCATCATTCTTTCTGTCTGAACCGGACTGGGTGGTGTGTGTTTCAGGTGTCTTTATTCCACTCAGGTGTCTTTAGTTAGGGTGTGAGAACGAAACCATGTGTTCCCAACAAGCAGCGAGTGGAAACGTAAAGAGGTCAGACCTTCAGCAGCACCGCTGAGATGCCATGACCGCATCAGAAATCTGCAGGAGTCATTAACAGGTCCGGCCCCGGCGTTAAGTCAAAGTGATGACATGGCAACAATAGATGAGTGTGTGTCTCTGCTGACAGAGATGTGTGTGTGTGTGTGTGTGTGTGGGGGTTGACATGTTGGGGTCGTGTGCAAAAAGCTGCAGTTTCCTTGACTCAAAGTGAGAAAGGAACAGAAGCAAAAAAAAAAAGACACTGGCAGGTAACCAGATGACATTTTTAGATGCCTGGAAACAGAAAGAAAGAAGCAGCAGCTTGTGAACTGCGGGATCCATCAGTTAAAAACGTGTATGCACCACCATGCTATACTGATCAACAAGTTTCTTGGATCAAACACAAGCCACAGAGCTGCCTCACAGCGTGTGCTTTGTCTGTGCTGCATGGGGAAGTCCAGGCCTATCTGTTTCACTTCTGTTTTCTGGCTCAGAGACGCCTCACAGGAGTCCATCCACATTCATGATGAGGACAAAGTTCATTAAAGAAAAAAAATAAAGTCAGAATCACACCGAGATAAAATCCCCTTCAAGACTGGAATCATGGCAAAACCTGGGGCTTGATCTCAGTGTGATATCATACTGACGGCATGAGCAGCTATTTGTTGTGTTTTGCTTTACTGCCAGTCATCATCAGTGGAAGAGTGAAGCCGCTGGATACTTTGACAGAGCTGAAAACTTGATAAGAAAATTAATTTTGCAACTTTTTGGTGATCGTCCCTTTACAGGAACATTTATCAAACACAAATTCAAAATATTCTCTGGTCTCATCTTCTAAAATACAACAGAAATACAGCTTTTAACTCATTTAGATGTGTTTGAGTTATAGTTTCAAACTGTACACTTGAAGATTTGGCTTGGTTTTTATTTATTTGTTCAATTCTTTTTACGGGGCTGATTAATAAAGGAAATGATTTCCTGAGCCCTAACCAGAGCTGCTGCTGTTTGTGGAACTCAGAGTTAATATAATTATGCTCAAATAGAAAGTTAATTTATAAGAACTATAGTTAAAATGAAACTGTGGACTAACTTTTCTTTTCCAGTATTGCAAACTCATTAAATATGACTTTTGAGACTGAATTGAAATGCACCGTATTTGAACTTCACCCAGGAGTTTTTCTGCAAAGAGCCCGTGGACCTGAGGAGAGTTTTAGTTTGAAATAAGACATTTAGACAATAAAACATCAAACCTACGTGTCTCCCTCCTCAGTTATAGTCGTGAGTAAGTTCTCCTCCTGCTCACACAGTTCAGAGCTGAGGGTGTGCTCCTCCTGGCCGCTGGAAAGCGAGCAGCTCCCCACCAACTCCGACAGACTCTCCCCGGTGATGGACGAGGAGCCGTAGGCTGAGTCCAGGCGCTCATCCACGGCGAACTTCTCCCTCGGCCCGCTGAGGTCCGCGCCGGGGTCCCGCGGCTCCTCCGACTTCAGAATGGAGCGGTACGAGTCGATGCCCGAGTCTGTGCGGTTCTCTCCGGCGTACAAGTCTTTACTGCAGTCGTCGCTCGCCATGGTGGAGGAGGTAGTGGCCTCGCCGGGCTTCTCCCTCCCTCCTTCCCGGGCTTGAGAGGCTACTCGCGGCTGCTGTGGCCGCTCGGTGCTCGGCGATGTGACCGGACAGCGGGGACAGTTCTGCGGGCACCTGAGGGAACCACCGCTCCTTTGAGAAACCGAGAGCCGCCGCGTTTCATTCCACTAACCGATCGAACATTTCAGCAGCCAGCTCCACGCCTCCAGCTTTTCTCTATCGATTATCGACTGTTCTGAAAGTTACACAACACGGTGCGGTCATCACCGACCTGGAGACAAAACCAGCGGGGGGAGAGGAGCGGTGAGGCGGCTCTGCTCGTCTGGATATCCGGTAACAACAGCAGGAGCTCCGGGCGGAGAAGAAGAAGAAGAAGAGGAAGAAGAGCTGACACGTGAAAGAGAAGCTGTTTGTGTCACGAGGGGGAATCCCCAGTGCGCGTGCACGACCCACACACACACAAACACACGCGCGCTAGAAAAAACTTTAAGCGGAAGTCATGTGCATTTCAAAATAAAGGTTGTAGTGTCAAAACATAGTAGTATGAACGCACAAGTAGAACTATGACAGACATAATACATTAATACATTAATGCAGGAATAAATAATAAAGATATATATAAAAATACGACTTGAATTTACTTCCAAACTATTCTGGTCTTTTATCTTTATAATAATAGTAATTATTATTATTATTTGTGAACTTCCCTCAGTATTTTAACCATTTGTTTTATAATAATAATATAATCATTAGTATTAGTAGCTGCAGTGTGTGTTCTGGACTGTAGGAGATGTCAGTCTGCACTTTGAAATACAACATTGCATAAGAGAATTATAGTTCCAGTATATTTTCCACTCATGCATTCAAATGTTAACTTTATTCTTCTCAGTCACTATGCCCACTCTATTTTCTGCCTACATTAAATCTGTTGGTTCTAATTTTGACTTCCACAAAAGATCAGGTGTAACCCAGCTACCATTTCTTCATTCCTTTTCTATTTGGGGAACTGCTTGTTGTAGTTTGGCCTTTAGAGGGCTCACTCACACAGCTACTGATCACTGACTCTTTGGATTCATCATAAATAGTCTATAAAACGATAGTGACTGTCCGAGAGAAACCTTTACTGCTGCCAAGAGCTGCCATCTGTTTTCATGTCATCTACTGTAATGTTTACTTACTCCTCACTATGCCAGCAGTCCAGTCCAATGTCTGTATTGTGGGCTGTGATAAACAGAGGCTCGTGTGCCAGGGTTGTGAGCTAAATGGTTTCTGTGTCAACAGTGATGTTTTCAAAGGAAGCAATGGGAAGAATTTAAGATATTCTTTTGTACATGCTAAATCTTATTTATCATACGTTATTTCTAGTACCTCTAATTAAAATAAATTGTCGGCTGCATCACCTTTTGCCTTGTCATAACAAATTGTCAGAGCTGCCCCTTGGGACAAAGCAGAGACATGTCTGGGAAATTGAGATCTTTTGTGTAGGCTGTCTGTGATGAAAAAGTGATTGATGGTCTAAATTCAAGTGTTTCCATGCACGTCTAATCTTGTTAAGTAATAAACATTCTTCTTCCTTGTTTGGTGTATTGGGCGTTGGCTACCAACATCAAGGTGTATTACTGCCACCTACTATATTTCTTATTCTTCTTCAAATTCATTATTATTAATAATACTAACTTTGTTTGCATGTTACAAAGTTATTTACAGAGAGGAAAACAAGAAAACTAAACATCAAACACAACAAGCAAAATAATTGTTAAAAATCAAAGGCAACAAATACAAGATTAAAATATCTTTCAAAAAATGACTGTAGAGTTTCACCACTACTTCTCACACAATTCACAATATAGTTGTAGGGTTATTGCTTCATTGTTTTCCCTTGTGTTGTTCCCACAGTTACAGCCTCTCATTGGGGGATAATACTTTTGGTGCATAGAGACATGGAGCTAATGGGATGCAGGGGGGGTGGGTTCCTTTGTGCAGCCTCTGTGATTCACTTGAAGTGGGACGCGTGCATGTAGAAGTGTGTGTCTCTACATTGTTGTGTTGGGCTGGTTTGCTCACACGTGCCGCTTCCTGTCGTCTTTGTCCTGCCTCACAGCTCCACAGCCTGCAGGGAGAGGAGAGGAGCTGTCTGCAGCCTTTGCCTCTTCCTCACCCTGCATCCCTTGCAGCAGTATCTCCATCACGCTTTGCATCGCTGGAGGAGCCTCTAGTCTTTTTTTTTGTTTTTTTTGTTGCAAAAGGCACCATGACGAGATTCTCCACCCAGCGACGTGTGCCCACCTGGAGGAGGAGGAGGAGGATGCTGCCGGGATGGTGCATCATCCTCTGAGCCGTTTGGGCTCCGAGTGCAGCTGCTTTCTCTCGGATGATGCGCAGAGGGGATCTCGGCGCTCATATGTTTTTGTGTGATCCGGAAACCCCCACGTCCCGACAGGAGATCCATGCCCCGGTTATTGCAGCGTTTCCACCACCATGTCCCCTGCGTCGGCTGCAACGGCCAGTGAAAGCAACTCCGCCACCGCCGGCACCGTCCCCGAAGAGGAGCCGGACAGCCCCCGAGAGGAGGTACACAAACACTGTGCAGCATGCAGGCCAATTTTCTCACCTCAGTGCATGTGGAGCAAATAAATTGTTGGATTGTTGACACATATTTCACTCAAATCTCAACATTCGCTGCGGTAAATCAGATCAGAAGATTGGTGTTTAACTGCACACTTAGATGGGAATCGAACTGGGTGTCTTCTTGTGGTAAAGTATGTATTATTAGTGGGTTTATGTGCTGTGATACATGAACCTGTGCGTCCAAGCGCGCAGCCGAGAGCGTGCACGTGCATGCATGTCCTCCTGTTTGTCTCCCCTCCAGACAAGTGGCATCCAAAATGGGGCTCAGGGACCTCATGTGGGTCCTGGATAGGAAACAAGCAGGTCCTCAAAAAAGAAAAGAAAAGTGTTCTATGATATCACTGTCACTGAGACAATGAGAGGATTCATACATGTTGTTATGCTCAAGTTTTTCTACACTGTTATGTTCCCTCAAGAAAATTGCTCAAATGTTATAATTAACCATATTCTGTTGCCGTCAAGAGAATTACATTGTATTGATGGCAATAAAAAAAAGACTGACGCTGTCTTTCCCCAGGGACATGTAGGGATTCAGTTTATTAGGGTTTTATTTTACCTGCAACAAACCTAATCTCGACCTTTTCCCCTTCCTGTCACCGCGTAGATGTCCCCTCTGAACATGTTGGACAAATGACCTATCCATTACACAAGAGGGTTTTTATGTAACATAGCTGGTCTTATTATGTCAAGAGAAAGAGTCCATGAGAGTGAGAGGCTCTTAGTTAAAGGCGCCACAGTCGTCCCATAAATCTTTACAGCTTCTGACTGGAGTGTTTGTTTTCTGAAAAACTGACCTCGTTTCCTAGCAGGCTGTTTCATGGATTTTACATGAAACAGCAACTTTCATTTATTTTGAATGCTTTTACTAAATAATAATTTACTGTTCACTGCTCCTTATTAAAGCCTGAATCCAAATAGTTTGTGCTCTTGTGTGAAAGCACATTACACACAAAACAACTGCAATCAAATCTCCAAAATAAAATCAGAGCCTCCATCTGAGGGCACTTTCACACAGACTTTTCAGTTTAGTCAGTTTAGTCTGCAGGAGGTTGAGATTAAACAAAGCCGGATGCAATGATTCAATGTTTGAGCAATGTGAAACCAAAACTAACAAGTTCAAATGTTAACAGTGAGACAAAGACATGAAGCCTGGTTCAAACTCTCAGGTGTGAAAAGAATCAAATATGATTTTTACATCATTTTAGATATTTGTAACTGCACAGTTCTGAATTAAATTTTGATTTTTAGATCTAGTATATACATTTTTTTTTCTGACTCACCAAAGCCAAGTAGGGGATAAAAAAAAAACACCCTCCCCTCTTTCTGCGTCCGTGCGTTCCTGTAAGTTTAATAAGAGGAACTTCCTCTTATTACTATTCAGCCCGGGCCAGAGGAATTTCTGTCTAACACCACTGTGTTCATGTGGTGAGTCACTGAAATCCATGAGTCTAATGAACCTCTCTGTTATCATCTCAAGCAGGGCCCTTTCAAATTAAATGTCATGTTACTATAAAATAATAATCTAGTTAGCTTGATGCCAGTTCAAATCTTATTATTCTTTAAGTTAAAAGCTCATAACTGGATTTTGTGAGCTACACTTTCATTCACATGTCTATAAATCTGATTGGGAGTGATGATTTGAGGTTATATTTGCACATTCTACAAAGTGAAAGTATATTTGCTTTCCATGTTACTGAATTCTCAACCTTCACAGGCAGGACGATGCTTCCTGCTGCACAACTGCTCATCATTATTCCTGCTGCTTAAACAGGCTGTAAAATGTAACATGAGCCACAAAGTATGTCATGTTGTATTGATTATAGTCGTCCAGGCGGGCACAGGATGCTGGCGAGTAAATACTCCTCCTGCAGTAGGTTCATCTCAACCGGGAATTTAAGTGTTAATCCCTCCCGTCCCCGCGGGGTGTAGCCTTGGGTTTGGCGAGGGACTCTGGGACCATGTGACCAAGGTGGGGAAGATAATTATGGAGGAGGAACATTTATTATTTATGCTTGTCTGTCACTGGAATAGCACGCGACTGACATGTTGAATTCAATACATCAATGCAGAGATGCTGGTTGTTGTGAACACTCATGCTGTATGTCGGGGGTGACCTATGGGCCGTCCTATGTAACAGATAGAGGGGATAACCTTTGTGTTCTAATTGAATCATTGCTGCTACAGTAGAGCCAGAAATGTTTGATGTCAACACACAGCGAACTCTGCCTCCGTGTGATGTCTGTTATGCTAATTCTATTTTGAATACATTTTCTTATAATCCATCTTTCCTGGGGCTTTTGAATCGCTGCCAGGTTTGTGCAGCATTGCTCCCAAAAGGCGTGACTAGCTCTTGATGCAGGCACTGGGGCTGGCTGTGCCCCGAGGTGATAAAGGATGGCACCAGCTTAATGCTGCCAGAGTGAAACGACTGCTGTTCTCTAGCTGGCCTGACATGAAATGTGGGGTCTACCCCTCAGAATATTTCTGTCCTCTTCTCTCTTTTCTGTTTTCATATATCGTATATTTATGCAAAAAAAGACATGTACCGAGGCCATGTGCTATTCACTGAAAACAAGGTATACTCAACATTGTACTTTTGCATTTATCAGACATTTTTCTTGAATTTGATTATAGGAGTGGGCGAGTTTTTGGATGATAACAAGCACAGACCATGACATGAGCAGTTGGCTCACAGCTCATGCATAAACTATGTAAAAGCACTTTCAACGCAGAAAATGTCCTTAAATATTTTATACGCGGGAGCCTCTGCTTTTAACTGTTTCTAATTTTATACATATTTTTGGGTTAGTTTACCAACTGATTTGCAATTTTATATCAATGATGTGTTTTTAATTAACCCTTTAAGTTCCTCGTTGTTGTACTGTTTTGACACACACTCAGTACTTTTCTGTTATTTACTTGCAGGGAAAAATGTTAAAAAAAAATATATTCATCGTATCCTTCTAGTGACCCTCTACTGTTTTCTCATCTTGCAGCAGCGGCCCCAGAAACAGTCTCTGTCTAAGTCCCTGTGTCAGGAGACCCACTGGAAATGCCTGCTTCTGTCGCTGCTGATGTACGGCTGCGTCGGGGTGATGGCCTGGTGCCAGGTGACCAAGGTCACACGCCTCTCCTTCGACAGCGCTTACAAGGGAAAGTCGATGATGTACCACGACAGTCCCTGCTCCAACGGCTACATCTACATCCCCCTGGCTTTCTTGGTCATGCTCTACGTGGTCTACCTGGTGGAGTGCTGGCACTGCTACACCAGGAATGAGCTGCAGTACAAGGTAGACGTGGACACCGTGACCGAGCGCATCCAGCGAATGCAGCAAGCTACGCCCTGCATCTGGTGGAAGGCCATCAGCTATCACTATATCAGGAGAACGCGACAGGTGACGCGCTACCGTAACGGAGACGCCTACACCACCACACAGGTGTACCACGAGCGAGTCAACACCCACGTGGCTGAGGCAGAGTTTGACTACGGGAACTGCGGAGTTAAGGACATCTCGAAGCACCTGCTAGGCCTGGACAGCTTCCCCATCATCAGGCTGAGGTTCACAAAGTGCTTTAGCTTTGCCAGCGTGGAGTCAGAGAACTCCTATCTGACCCAGCGTGCCAGGTTTTTCACAGAGAACGAGGGTCTGGACGACTACATGGAGGCCCGTGAGGGAATGCATCTGAAGAATGTAGACTTTAAAGAGTATATGATTGCCTTTTCTGACCCTAATCACCTTCCCTGGTACACAGCTAACTCCACTTTTTGGGTGGCAGCTGCTTTCACCCTCTCCTGGCCTCTGCGGGTGCTGACAGAGTACCGCACTGCCTGTGCACACTACCACGTGGAGAAGCTGTTTGGCTTTGACTTTGTTCCAGTAACACCATCCGAGGAGCGACCGTATTGCCGACACATCCCACGAGTCAACACAATCGATAGCACAGAACTGGAGTGGCACATCCGCTCTAACCAGCAGCTGGTGCCCAGCTACTCGGAGGCCGTTCTCATGGACCTGGCCCAGCTCTCCGGGAGCTGTAACAGCTACTCCGGCAGCTACAGGCAGAACTGTGAACGCTGCCACCGCACCATCAGCAGCTCCTCCATCTTCTCTCGCAGCGCCCTCAGCATCTGCAACACGGGGAGCCCCCGCATCCCCTTCAGTGCCAGCCGCTTCTCTCTGGGCCGCCTGTACGGCTCCAGGCGGAGCTGCCTGTGGAGGAGTAGTGGGAGCCTGAATGAGCAGTCGTGCCCCACAGAGAGCACGCGCTGTCTGTCAGGTCAGCCGACCAGCGAGGAGAACCCTCCAGCCTATCAGGATGCTATGTACTTCCCAGTGCTCATTGTGCATCGCAACGAAGGCTGCCTCAACCATGACCACCACTCCCTGCACAGAAACGGCTCCTGTGTAGAGACTTCGCTATGACCCACGGCTGCCACGGGCTTCTGAGCAAAGAATATAATGATGCAGGCTCCGAGCAAGAAACCTCCTAGCCCCCGGGGTTATGATGATGATGACTTCTGCTTCTTCCTTTTACATATTGTCTCATACAAGTTACTACAAACAAGCATTTGTTCAAGTTTCAAAAGCTGAAACAAACAAGAAACAATACAATAACATAAACAAGTATGTCTGAAAAAGTCCCCTAATAAGTCAGGGAAACCAGCCTGGATGGTCTTGATGAGACTGTTGGTTAAACTATAATGTGGCTTTAAAAAAAAAAGTGTCATGTACAGCCCTACAGCTTCCACTAAGAATCAATTAACCAAGGAATACCAACTGGAGTCACATCTTACTGTTAATGCCATATCTGTAGATCTAGGTAAAAAAATTACATGGACATGAGTAACAATAGAGTTTGGAGCCTAAAATAGATTTTTATATGACAATTAATGAAGAAATGAAAGATTGATAAATGTTTGATGTCATATTAAGCAAATTCTGAGACTTCAACCTCCTTGCTTATTCAAAGTTAGTACACGTTGAAATCCAGTGACAAAAAGAGGGATACATTTCCATAGTATAAAAATAAAGGTCTGATACAGACGCTAAAATATCCAGTTGGCTCAAATGGGCTCGGTGGCGATGACATTATACTTCCCAGCTCGCTAAATTTAGCAACACAGCGGATGAATAATTTATCACAGGAAAGCTAAGGACACAAGAACTTCAAACTGAATGAGCGACACGTCTTCAAAATGTTACTCACTATAAACTGTACATTTTGTAGAATGGCCGACTACATAATAAACCTCACCATTATATTGATAGATCAGTGTCACCTCAGCTACTTTAAAATCTCAAAGATACATTTAATTTCATGTTTGGCAATATTTTTATTCAGCCTACCTCTTTATTTAAGTGCCTAGCGACCAACTGTTACCGACAAGCATAAGCTACCATAACTCAAATGATCTCATCTCAACATCTTCCCATTGAAACATTTACGCTCATTAGAGCACATGATATATGATGCATAGGAGAAACATGCTGTATCACCTGATCTCATTACTGCTTCAGATATAAAGGTCAGAGTCTAAAGGCTCTGGAGACGAGTTTCTTCATAATAACGCAGCTCGCACAGAGCCGCTGCTGTGCTCTGCTGATGAGTATCAGAGAGACAGCCAGGGAGCTGGCCATCAAAGACGCTCGAAATAGGCAAAGGCCTGGAATCACTACTGATAGTGTCAGATTTAATAACATGACAGGATTTCTTTAAAGAACTAAAAAAAAAAAAAGTAACTTGCTCTAAACTGGGTGCATGCAGTTTCTTAGTCATGGTGAATTTTGTTTTACAGCCAAGCCATGCACAAGAAAAAATGTTTAAACGGGAATAAAAGAAGTCAGGTCAGGATTAACCTCCAAAAATATAACACAACTCAAAGTTTGCTAAATTTCTTCCATTAGCTTTTGTGAATGGTACTTTAGTACAATTTTATAAGTACAGATATAATTCAAGAAAACAGAAATATTTGTTAACAAGCTGGTTTTCATCTCCTGAGATCTGCATTTAAAAGTTGGATCGCTGGTTGTTTATTTTTTCTGCCATTACGACCATTAGAGTCGAAGGATCTTGACTGTGGACTTTTTGTGTAACTTCCTGCTTCACAATAATGGGCTTGTACTGTAAATTGTGACCAATTCTACCCATACTCATTACATTCCATGTGTGCTGTTAGGTCTGGAGTTGGGGACTATCTTTATAGCAATACTAGGGAATGCACTGAAAATAGAGAAAAGGTCAACGAGATGTGACAAAAAAAACTAAACAGAATCTAGCAAACCTGCCATTTCATTCAACAAATGGCCATTTCCGATCATTTTTCACCTGTTTTCGCAAGCTCACCTATGCAAGCCCCATCAACTCAGGATCATATTCAGGGCAAGGATTCTGCTTGCAACAATATCCCAAAACTTTCTCATTTCAACTTTAGGTTTTGCCAGTTATGCACACTTTGTATTTTAAAGGCTTTTGTAAGAAACAGCTGCATGACAACAGCCTAGAGGGGTTTGCAAACACAGGATGCTGAAACAAACAGTTCAGAAGCAGATCGAACAAGAACCTCCTTCAGGTCCTGGTGTTCATAACGTTCACTATACATACTGATATCTTTGTTAGAATATTAAAGAAATTGTTTGACAGTTTGGGAACAAAGCTCATTCGCTTTATTAATTCGATTAATACTATCCTGATGTCTGTTTGGCATATAAGCTTTTGGCCAGTTAGCTTAGCTTAGCATAAAGACCACAAACAGGGAAACAGCTGTAGCCTGAACATAACAACCTATGCTTGCATTTTATAGTTACGCACATTAACCCCCTTAGCTGTTTCCCCATTTTCGGTCTTCATTCAAGAGAATCAGCTCTTATTGAGAAAACATTTTCCTAAAATGTCAAACTATTCTTTAAATGGTTCGAAGGCCGTACACAATAAGACCTTTTTTTTCCACAAGAAACCAAATGAGGGGCGGGGATTTGAATTCACGTATGAATTAATTAAGTTTCTTCGGCTTGTTGGTCGTTGTTTCTGATTCCGAGTCATGAAGGACTGGATCATATCCCAGCATGCATTGGTCAGAAGGCAGAGAATCAAGTGGATGTCACGCATGTCCTTGTATTGTAAAAACCCAGAGGACACCAAGAACAAGAGCATGCAAACTCCACAAGGAATCAAAACATATACAATCTGTAGGAGGTGGAGGTACCGTAGCAGATGTTTCATGTTCTTATTCATACTTATTAATATAATTAGCCAACAAGCCTCTCAGATGGCTTCACTGTGATATTCATACAGAATAGAAAAATGTGTTTACCAGTGCAATGTTTACCTGACAATATTGACATGAAAAATATTTGGGGTATATAAAAATGGTTCTAAATCCGATTTGGAAGTTTCATAACTTGACATTTTTGCTCCATAGATGACTGTTAGCATAAAGGCTTTTGTCATGCAAAGCACTGAACCCTTTACTGTGTATAGATGGTTTTATGTACTCTCTTTCACTCAAGAATGCTCTAGGGCTTGTCTTTTTATATTTAAATGTTGTGTATTTTCCGGAGTGTAGGGCAGAGAGGCTTTGTACTGTAAATAAAATAGAGATGAGAGGATAGATTGACTGTGGATGTGGATCTTAGATGAATGTGTCACACACAGAGACGTAACCGGAGCAGGGACGTTGTTTTGACATGCAGACGTTAAAGGGCGAGTTTGTTAAAAAGTCGCTAATGGCAATGAAATCCCTTTCAGAATGCTTCAAGCTTGTGCAGCTTTAAATTGACCTGTTTGAATGACTTCTCTTGTTTTAACACATTTTTGAAATGGAATATGATACAACTTTATTTGACTGATTCACAATAGGGTTCACAGCATTGATTGTAAATAAAGATGGACGACTTGTCACCACTTCGTCCTACAGTCCAGAAATTAAGCCAAAATATTTTGTCAAGAAGGATGCCATCTTGAAGAGATGATGACGTTTGAACCCCGAATCGGCACAGTAGTGACCAGACGATGGAGCCACAATATCAAGCCGTATCAAATTACTAATTAAAACCAAATGTACCAGAAACATTTGAACAAACATTAGTGTGATAAGAATTAGCTAAAACGACAGAGCAAAGTGTGTATTTTGGCATTTTAGTTTGTCCACTACACTAACATAGTGGAGATTGGGTTTATGACCAACACTGCAGCCAGCCACCAGGGGGTGATTTAGATGAATTGGCTCCACTTTTGCGGCACTGTCATTTCGGCCATCTTTATTTACAGTCCAGGGTTCACATAAACACATGTAGTACACATTTTGAGGGACTTTTGAATGATTGTTGATATTAATTACTGATATAAAGACCATCGGTAATTGTAGATTGACATATTGCTAAATAAATTCACCATGAACCTACAGATTAGCTTTGTCTCTCAAATTATGATTCTTTAAAACTAGTGAATTTTATAAGAATAGAAACCGGGACATTGATTACACATAAGATTTGTTAGTAGCTGCCTAGAGAAGGTGTCACATTATTAGCAAGTAGATATGGGTGAAACTAAAACAACACAAGACTGTATGTATTCCAACACCACAATGATGCCTTGATGTTACATATGGACTGAATACCAAATCTGTGTATCAAAATGGAATAAAACTCCTCAATAAACTGAAATGCTCACTGAAATGTGTCAGAAAGGACTGTGATGCTACACATTTTGTGGTCGGTCTAAATGGTCGGTTATATTTCCACCACTGGTCTGGAACTAAAAATACTTTAAAAG